ATATTCTCATTATTAAAAATTTCATAGAGAAAATTTTCTGTAAAAATGAAATATCTAAGATTACACGAGATAACTTTTAAATACACTAAAGTTTTTGAATTTTTAAATTTTTCATAAATAGTTTTAATGTTATCAACATTTGTATTAATAAAGCTAAGACATTTTTCAACGATACGAAATAATCCAATATTTCTTCTTTTATGGTAAATTTAACATTTCTGAACCTGATATTTGTAATATTTTCTGAATTGATACTTTTAAAAATTTGGAGATTGGTAGAGATACAAAATAAAGAATGACCCTGTTTCCCATACCCAAGGGCGATTCCGCGTATATTATTGAATTTAAGTAAATTACTAGAGCAGGTGGTGTCCAGATAAATATATTGAATATGTTTTGAATTGTAATTAATAAGATTGGTGTATTTAACTATAAGATTGGTGATGTTTGATTTATATTTGTTTGAAAGTTGAAAATAAGTGATTTTTTTCGAATAATTGAATATTAATTCAAAAACGGTTTTTGTGATTTGGGTTTTCCCATCTTTATGGGGATCGAATTCATAATCAATTCCATGAGTAATGATACTAAAAATATTATCAACACGAATTTGTCTGATGAAGGATAAATAATCGAAAAGAAGTTTTTCTATATTATCAAAATAATTATCAAAGTAAGAAGAATAAATTTGAAACAAAACACTTTCTTTATTAGATAAATAATAAATTATTTTTTGTAAACTCGTATAGTTTCTTCCGACACATGAATAAAAAGGATCTTCCCATAAATAAGGAAGAGAAGCTACAGCAAATAATTTCGAAACCAAAACATAGTCTAAAAAATTTTTACGATCGGTATAAATCAAAAATGAAAAGATTATTGAAAGAATTTCAAAAGATAATGATTTCATTTTATTTTGGTAATTTGAAAGTTACATGTTAATGTTTTAAATATTCATACATTTATTAATAAAATTACAAATGATAAATTAAATTTTCCTTTTCTTTTTTATCGATAATAGAGTCGCCACAGACAAGCTGTTTACACAAAAACACATCATCTATTAAACAAAAAATATGCTTATTATTTTTATAGTTATGGTTATTATTTTTACATAAATCATACGCGACAATATCTGGTAAGAAAATACTTTCGGTATTTGTAAATGAATTTATGACAAAATTTTGTAGATATTTTTCTTCTTTACGTTTATCATACTCTTTTCAATTTTTGGATTTTTGTTCTTTGGATAATTCATGTAATGTTTTATTAATTTTTTTTATGTCAACATGACCATGTTTTTCATTTGTTTTGCTTATAAGATCATTAAGAGATATGTTTAAATATTGACATCTGTCAATTATATTTTGAGTTACGTTAGGCATGTTGTTTTATTTTTCGTAAATTTAATATTGAAATATGTAAAATTTGGTATCTTTATTTATAATAATTTGATTAATAAATAATAAATAATAAATAAATAAT